ACTTCCGCCACAAGCTCATCCAGGACGATCTGACCTGCAGCCACAGCCACTGGGAGTCGTACAACCCGGGACATGCACCCACGTGCAGTGTTTTTGGCCGCGTGGCGTGGTTCCAGTCCAAGCTCTTTCAACAACGGCGCAAAGCTGTCTACTGCAATGTGTCCTGATCACTCGCGAGTCAGGTTCCGTTGGATGGCAGCTGTATAAGCGGATGCCTGCATGTGCCGGAATTCTGCCAAGATACCTGCATCCTCATATTTGGTGAACTCAGCTCGGTAGAGGTTTAACAGCCCAGACTCGTAGAGGCACACGAAGCTCGTGAATTCGTCTCCTGGGCGACTGTGAGATAACCACACAATGCTGGCGTCGTTTAGTCACAAGGACTTGCGGAGCAACGACCGCCAGTCTCAAGAACTACTGGCTCGGCAAAAAGACTGGGAGAGTTTTTAACAGACAAACATAGCTGATCATTCTGCCCGATTCTGCCCAAGCAGCTGTCCAACGTTGCAAAGCGCGTTACTTGCTTGCACGCTTCTTCAATTAGTAAAGGCCGCCGATCACGAAATCCTTATGCCAGCGGGTCGCCGTGCACAAGGTTGCAGAGTTCTAAGGTCGAGTGGCAAACCATGCTAAGGATGGTCTCGTCTTAATGCATGGAAAAGATCCACAGTGCGCCAAAGCCCTTGACAGGTCGTCCAAATGGATTTCTCCATCATGTCGGTACCGGTTGAAGCTGGACCTTCCGGAAGTGCAGCTGCACAGTCTTTGCATCTGTGCCCTGCTCGTCTATCCGAAAAAAAAAACGAGCCGGTCAGCAGGACGAGCAGGAATATGACAGTCAGCCACACCTCCACTTGGCATGCTCCGCTGAGGACAACCGGCGAACATCCTCAGATGCTGTGTCCTTCTAATTTTGTTCCGATGCCAGCGCAGATCCCGCCTCCCTGGTATCGCTGTCCAATTGCCACTCATCCTCCAACGGGGACTATGCGGAGACGTGACAAGGCCTCCACTGCAACCTGAAAGGCTGTGCCTTGGCAGCGTGACGCTCATGCCCGTCTCGATCGGAGTCCTGGCTTACGTGCAGCCGAAGATCGCATAGGATTCGTCTAGACATCGACATACGCCGAGGTTTGACTTTACAGACGACCGCAGAGCATGCAGGCCACGCACAGCTACAAAAGGAAGGCAGTCCTGATGCTTTGCACCTTCCAGCATCTGTGCCGCACAGTATTGATTGGCCATCCCGGCAGGATTGTCCTCACTAGCCCCCGGTCAAGTCTGGAACTACGCTGAAAACAATGATGCCAAAGGCTGGCAAGCTGTCACTGACCACGGTCTCGACTCCTCCAGCTGCGTTTCGAGGCCACCGAACCTTGGATCAACTTTACGTGAGGGCCACTACTTGGCCTAGTTGGCATCGGCATCCTGACATGAAGGAAAGCTAGAACCGTTCGATCGGGACCGAAAAGACTTTAATGCCTGGAGCAAGCAACCAAACACAGCTTAGTCGTGTTGGCACAACCGACGAAATGAAGTGCACAGAGAATATAGGAGAATTTCATTAATAGACTGAAACATACCAGCGTAAAATGAAATCCGTTGTCCACAAATGCTCGTGTGTATGGCATTTGAAGCCAGGTGTTTCAGATGGCATTTACACGTGCATTTGTGGGCACAATGAAATCTCTCTTGATGGCTGGCGGCTGGCGAGCTCTACTGAATTTTTGCCGTCCATTAGCTCACAACCGCAAACCCCCGCCAATTTACGGTCCAGATACTCCGCTGATTCGCTGCCCAGAAGACCAGCGAAGCCTGTCTCGCCCCAGGTGTCCCTTCGGCTCCCTTGCCTCACCTTGGGCAACACGGCTCTCAGTTCAAGTAACTACAATCCCAGATCGTGCTTCGGCATCGCCACAGAACCCAGATTCGTGCCAGACAAGAACTCTGAGCGGGCGACGGGTGCGCACATTTTCGTCACGGAGCCTGCCAAACGGGAGGGGTTCCCACAGCCCAAGAGCTACTCTGTTAGAGCTGCCTGTCCATCCATCCGCCTCGAATACCCTGCATTTTCTCTCTCAGACTTCCATGCGAGCAGTTCTACAGGGAGCAGAAGGGAGCTAGAATCAGCTAGAATCATCCAGTCATGTGGCGTTGTCTTGTTCAAGATTCGAACCCTACTGGCGAGCTCTTCCCCAAAGGTGCGCTTTCCCGCAAGTTGCGACGTGGTCCAACAGCAAGCATACCGAAAACCTGTAAATGCAGGCTTCGGTGCGGATGCGACTTCACTGTCCTGTGGAGTGCTGCCAAGTCCTTCTTCGTGCGCAATCAGGATACAAGTGGCATCGAAGGATGCCTTTCAACTGGGGCTTCACGTACGAATTAGATAATTAGAGACGAAGTGCATAAGACGTCCTACGGGTTGAATTCATGTTGTCGGCAAAATCATGTCTAAAGGCTGGCAAAGAGAAAAGTAAATGATGGAGGGGTTTCGACCGATTGCTCGATTGTGAGATAGATTGCGAAATGGATATGCGATGTGCTTGTGCGTTCCTATGCAACGTACGATCCAACATCCTGACATGCAGACAGCAAAAAAACGTCAAAACACGAAATGACTTGGACAGCGCATGCTTTTGGAGCTCGACCAGTGAAGTAGACCTTTTATGTTGCCTTGGGCCCAAGCCTGAGCAACGACCGCCACCCTTCACAGAGAGGAGACCCGAAGGTCACAAGAAGCATGTTTAGGGTTTACGGTTTAGGGTTTAGGGTCTAGGGTTGCATCACTGATAGGACTTTGTGCAGGGCCTCTCGCAGAGCTCACAGAAGAGTCTCTCGACAGCCGGCGAGCGGGAGGTCTCAGTGGGCAGTTCAAGGCTTCCGAAAGCCGAGGACTCGGCTCGCTGAGACAGCTCAGAGATCCACGATGGCTTCCAGGCAGCACGCTGTTCAAGCCTCGCGGAAGTCCAGTTTAGGGTGCCTGTTTTCCCTCTGAACTTCCCCGGTTTTTGCATGAACTGCTGTCCCAGAAGGTGCCTGAAGTTCAGCTGCGGCCTCGTCGCACTTGGAGGCGGCAGACTCAAGTGGAAGGTGGTGCTGACGGAGCCATCTCGTTCCAACAGCGGCTTTGGTGCCCGAGGCGTCTTGAAGGAAAACGCCAACACCTCAAAATGTCCAACATGTTTTTTCCTAGAGCACCTGCTGGACCACAAGCCCATCTGGAGCCAAGCTACGGGTTCTGACAGTTTCCGTGGTCGAGGCCGGCGCTTTCCAGCTGCGCTTCCTGAACTCTGCAACATACGATACACAGCTCCAGGTCTTAAACAAAGCCAGGGCGCGATCTCTGCTGTACTCGGGCTGGACTGTCTCACGGCACGGGGAGGCATCAGCCCAGCGCTCTTCGATGCAATGATCCTGGCGAAGGCTCTCGCCATCGTGCGAGCAGTGCAGCTGCGTGCTGTCCAATTTCAATCCCTTGCAGTCCTGCATCATTGCCGGGCTTGATGCTCGCCGTTGATTGACTTTGGACTCATTTACCTGCAGGATAGCAGAACGTTCGTCCGGTGCTGAAAGCTTGGATTTCAATTCCAAGGGCAAGACTGAAGGCCAGGAAGCATCCACCTTATCAGATTCCTTCAAAAGGGATGGAGGATGCTCCCCCTCCTCCTCCAGCTGCCTTAACCTGTACAGCGAAGTCTAGCAAACTGCTCTTGCACCACTTGCTGGAAAGCGGTCTGAAAAGCTTCTTCGCCTTCGGGTTCTTGCACGGATGCTCCCAATACGATCATGGACTTTCCCTTGTGCAAAAAGCCGGGCCTGCAAACACCAAAGCAGGGTACATGACAGCTTCGAGCACTCTGAAGGCCTGGTGACACCTTTCTGAGGAAAATGAATGGCCTCTTCAATGGCTTCCATGCGGCGAGGGAAGCGGTCCCGGGAGGCTTTCAATCATGGCACATCGGCAGAGAAGCCTAGTATGGGGGCTGCTAAGTGAGCAATAGCACTGCGGGGCCATCTGTCACGTCTACGGAAGCCCTCTGTGCAGTGTCGGAATGACGAGGATCACTTCCGGGAACCGAACTCACCGTGGCATCTGCAGGCCAGCTAGCCATCCATACCACTGGCACCAATCCCAAATCCTGACAGACTGACAGCCGCCTCACTGCGAAAGCTCACGCCTCTGTCTAACTGACGTGATGGCTGAATCATGTGCTCGGTATGTCTGCCTGGAAATGTAATGTGCCCAGTACCATCAACGGACATGTACAAAGCTGCATAGTACAGAAGCTTGTTGCATACGATGCCGCATTACGAAGCCCGGTCCGGCCTTGGCTTCTCTTACCCGCATCACCATGACCTGCAGGAATCAGCCAACCCACTGCAGAAGCATGTCCCCAGGACACCTCGTCATCCATTCCAGACCTTGGCATTCAAGCACAACAAAAGCTCGCCACCGAACCTTGAAACCTCGACGTGCAGCTGGTGTGCAGGAACTCGGGGGCAGGAGCCCGCGTCACGGCTGAAAGGCTGAAAGCGCCCCAAGTGCCCACGAGCACGTGAAAAAGGAATGTCCATGACGGCCGAGCCTGCCAGACAGTCTGGCAGCCAGCACTGTGGCTTGTAAGGCAAGCTGCCGGAAACTTACTGTACGCAGCCCTGTACTTTCCCCCACCTCGCCAGAAGAAGGGCGAATTGCTGCCGGGTCCCGGCAGTAGGGCATGGAAAGAGAGTCATTCATGTGTTGTGTAATGGCAAATCAGCAGCACAACCAACTTTTGAAGCTGGTGCGACTGTCCCCAGCTTTCCACACTCACTGACACCACAATGAGCCTCCTAAACCAGGAGCCGATGCTGAGTCGAGCGATTGTATCCTCGCAACACCTGTGACCTGGGCGTGCGAGCATGTGAGCAGCATCAGGTGTTCTTTTTGCTCCATCGCTTCATCCACTGGACATCGAGCAATCGAGCAATATGTGGCAACTGCTGCTAGCCCATGCTGATCAAGCACCCCGAGGACGTAGGGACATGGTCGAAGCATCGGCAACACTCATCTGCTCCACTGCGGCACGACACGAAGTGTCTGAGTGTGAGTGTGGGATTTCAATCTGCCCACGTTCTGCACCCAGCTGGCCAAAACGTCTTCGCTTGCGATTCCATAACGTCACCGCGTACACGCAACTGAGAAGAAAGATGACCAACACTAATACATTGTTTAACGCTCTCCACTGTCTTTCTGCCTTTGCAACGCAGCCAAGACCCGCTGTAAGCCAGCCCAGTATCAGAACTGCACACGATTGCAGCAAAGCAAACACACTTTGTGCGTCGTCCCGAACCCAGCTCCATATGATAAGATATATGCTGCAGCCTACTGCAACTGAGCCTAGAATCACATGCCATTCACCAAGGCTTCCAGCGTGGGCACTACTGTTTACCAAAGGTCCAAAGCTGAATCCTGCTCCAACACACTGAAAAATGCAGCTCGCCAGCATTAAATGCTGCCGCTGGTAAGTTGCTTCCGTTACATGCACAATCAGTTGAAGAGCAACTCCGAAGCATGCCAAAAAACAGTGAAGAAGGGCCCAACTCTCAAGCATGGGTGTCGCAGGTCTCGACCCGCCGGAGCAATGTCGACACCGGAGGTCTTCCCAACAACACTCTCCAGCTGCACAGATGGAGTTTCCAGGGTCACCGTCTACAGCCAGACAGTGACAATCTGCTATGACCGCAGTGCTGTTACTTGGGTTGCACATCTCTTGTGGTTGGCCATCGCTGAACACTGTCAAGGCATCAGCCACGTACGCACGGCCACCGTACCCAGTAACGCAAATAGCAAAGAAGCTGCTGCTGTTTGCGGCAGTCGGGCTCATCCACTGCCAACTCCTCCGTGAATGCTTTTCTGAATACATCGTGCATGCTGCCGAAGGCCTGGATGGTTCTTCCTGGAAGGCGCCTGCACTTGAAATGATGACGTGGCCGACTCCGCCGGGCTCATTCGTCTCCACAGAAACCGAGTACAGCGTGTTGACTTCAAATCCTGAAGTGCTCTTCCAACAGTTCAACAGTCACGGTCGAACAGAGCATTGAGAAGACATTCATTCGTTTCTGCTCAGCTCACATGGGACTTGTGCGAAGGGTGTTTTGACTGGTTTCTCTTGCTCATACTGTCCTTCACCCACTAGAAACAGAAAGGAAAAATCTGCCGGCGCCAATCTCAGCCCAGACTTCCAGTAGGTGGAATGCTTGTTGAAATCCTGCAGTTCGTTCGGAACGACTGGTTCTGGAATCGATCCTTGGTTCTACGAACGTTCTACGGCATCTGGCGTACTTCCGAAACCATGCTTCTTCAACCTATGAGGCTGGTGATGCACTATGAATTCGCCTTCGCGCAACCTGGGTTGTCATAACGTCGGGCCAGATGCCAGCAAGATGCTATGCTCATGATTTCGAACGGGTCATCCGGCTGGAGCTTTCTCATGAATTCAGCCGATTTAAACTGCCAGAATTGCGGGTACGCCAAGGTCGATGCGAACCGAAGTGCCAAAATGCGAGCGCCGCACATGGCCACAAGACTCTGGCAAACCATCTTGCTGTAAAAAAGGAAGACTTGACAATTTCTCTTCTGCCGTGTTCTAGACGCCTGATGATGGCTTCGTGCATCCCGCGGAGATGGCTGTGAATGACATAAGCTCCGATTTGCAGCAAAAAGCCAAGCATGAAGACACTAGGGCTGCGGCTTTGCTGGAAATGACAAGCCTCTCGAGGTCCTTCTATCGTATCACGGCAGCAACCCTGACCTGCTACGTACAGTACGGAGTCGTGCAGCCTGGCACTGCAACCAGCAATGTAAGTTAACGTAGATATAAGGATGTAAGAAGCAAACTATGTCGGGCACTCGAACCACAGCCTTTCACAAGTCTGTTTTGGAGCTGCAACATACCATCGTCGGGCCTGCGCATGCACAAGCCCTCCAGCAAGCCTAAAACACAGCTGCTCGTCAGAATTGAAACGGAAAACCTGTTGTCAACCGCTTCTTATCCCCGCTCATAGCCGGAATAGTGTACAAACAGGTGTGCACACACCGGCACAAAGAGACCTTTGCCCTTCAAAAGTCATGCCCTTCTCGACTAGAACATCTACTATTCTGTCATGAAAGGCACATCCGTGCAGTTGATGGATGTTACCGTGGGAATAATACATGTGTTGCCTACATCTGTCATCTCTGTCAAATACTCCCATGTGGCTTGCGTCATTTCCAATGACCAGGACCGGATGTCCACTTGGAAAATCACCACTGTTTTGCCGGTCGCTTCGTAGTAGATGATTGCACACAAGCCACGAACCCCCTCCAAGACTCCATGGCCAATGCCGGTCATGGCAGTGGTACCGTCTGCCAACGTGACTTCCGTGACTCCCTTGTCGATCCATTTCGTGTAATTGCTGAGGCACTCGGCATTCGTCATCCATGGCGTGGCCCCAGCTGGGTAGGGGCAGGCGCTGGTGTCTGCAACGTTGCCGTAGTTATACCCCTCTCCATTGGAGTTGATGATGCAAGTGGCTTCTTCTGAGGTGTTCACATAAGCAATTCCTAAACTTGAACATCGACTGATCATTTCTGTGGTATCATCCGGAGTGGCGACTTGGAGCTCGGTCAAAGGGTACTCATAAGTCCTGCTGTACGTGCAGGCAACACCACCAGAAGGATCGGAAGGAGAGGGGTCGTCGCCGTCGTCATCATCGTTGTCCTGGCAGCACTATGTTCAGTAGTTTTGCAGATTGCAAACACACCACTGCCATGCTTCGGCTAATGTCGAATCTGAATGCCGAATCAGATGCGGAACCCCAGTCTCAACCATCCACAATCGTTGCTGACCGTCCTTGCTCCCATAGTAACCATAACGCTTGCCACCTTTCCACCATCCAGAACGCTTCCAAGGCCTGCCAAGTCACATCAGAGTGACAACAACGAGGAAAGGGACGCAAACATCGCACAATGCAACTGATCACCTGCCATGACACCTGACTAAGTGTCTTCCAAACTGCCTCCGTCCTCGCGCACGCGTTTTTTCTTAATGCAAACGGAACTCACGGGTGTGCCTCGAAACTTGCACCAGGTTTGTCTCTTCTTTCGCGCAATCTTCGCCCAAACAGCTGGCAGCGATTTCCCAAACCAGCACGAGGACAACGACGCAACCACACCTGCTCCACGGCATGGCGCGGACCGATTGCGAATAATGACAGATGCTGGGCCAAAGCGCTCTGGATTCATTCTTTCATTAATTCATGCATGAGTCATGAGTCACACTTGCAGGCAGGGGGTGATACTTTCGGTGCACACCTGCCTGTTTCCGGTCAGTGCCTGTGCAAAGGAGCAAGACTTGAACTCTGTCGCAAGCAAACTGGTGTTCTTGGGTTTTGTCGTTTGTCGAGCCATTCGGGCGACCATGCAGCACAGTCGGTCCAACTAATTTTGTCAAAACGAGGCGCAGCGAACATGTTTGAATCATCATCCCAATGTGTAGCGGGACGTCCAGGCTTTTGGCTCGGCTTCTCGTTGAGATGATGCCCAACCGGCAGATGCCGCGGCGCGGAGGGCGTGCGGGGCTCGGAAAGTGCGCGCCTGGTCGTTCCAGCGCCCGCCCACCTGCCCCGGGTAGGTTGCGAGCTTCCGGCGCTAGAACACCGTCAGCGCGGCGCCGTCGACCACTGCTGAGCACCGTGGCGGGTGTCCCGTTCGCGTCGAGGGAGACACGAGCGTGGCATCGCAACATAGGGCTCCGCCACTGCGTGTCGCCCCGTACACGTCTTCCGCTTCTACGCCGGGCGCACCATTGCTGTGGAACGACCTGCCCTTCCGCCCCGATCGCCTCTCTCACGACTCGAACCCAGCTTGGCGCATGCTCGCCGAAAGCATCGACGACTGCGCCGCACCCACGGTTCGTTCCTCGCAGAAGCAGCGGCTGTCGCAGGCGGCGGCACAAAGCGATTTGCATCGCGGCAAGTGGCAACGTGGAGGCCGGCTCTGTCGGGATCGCCGCGAGCCAAGCACCTGCCCTGCGCCCAGCCTGGGACCGCAGAAGCGCCTGAGAACGGGGCGACATGCCCGGCCGCAGCACGCGTTCGCGAAAGTATATGTTGCGAGTGCGCGAAGCGTGCATCTGCCAGCCTGTGGCCAGGCTTCGGGGCCTGCTCGTGTGCAGGGGTTGGGCGGGGTCCCCATCAACGTTGGCAGTGCGCGCGAGAAGATTTAGGCTGGTAGAATCGCTGGGGATCGCAAGAACTTCCGCCCGTTCGCATGGTGCCCACTTGCATCGTTGGAACGACATGGTCCGAATTTTTTTCTCACGGACTTTTCGAGCTGCCCAACGAAAGGTGCTCCAGCCATGGTCGCAGCTGACTACACTACTAACGGGCTACGAGCTACGCACCAGTCCCGCATCAGGGCCGAAGCGGCAAGCGGCTCTGGCCGGTGGGGGCTTCGTGGTGGAGCAGGGTGTCCAGCGGTGGGCCGTCGCAGGTTTCTGGCTGCAGTGGGTGCAACCAAAGGGCCTCCCAATGCCGTGCTGGCGACGTCCTGCTGCACCGCAACGGACGAGCTGCCCGACGACAGGTGTGCTAGCCGCGGTCGTGGCAGGCTCGTCTACATAACGGACGGCGGACTACGCGGCTGTCCCATGCTCTGGCCGAACCGCAAACAACGGCAAGGGCTCTGGCCGGCAGGGGCATCGGGGAGGAGCAGGTTGTCCAACGGCGGGCCGTGGCTAGTTTCAGGCTGCAGCGGCTGCCGGCGGACGCTGCTGCGCGGATGGCGTGGGGGGCCTGCTTTGGTTTCAGCTTTGACCACGTCCACTCCAACGCCCGCCCACCTCCGAGCCCAGCACGACGAGGTTTTGCGGCCCGCGTCGAGAAAGCTCCGAGTTAGTCACGTCTTCTATTTGTTCAAACAAAATTTGGGCGGTTTTTTTTTGCGACTGGTGTACCGCGGTCCCAGTGCAGGAAGGAATTACTGCGGGCACAAGCTGTTTTAGCGAGGTCAGCGTCCTCCGCGCCCGAGTCTAGTGCTGCAACTCCCGGGGGTGGACGTCGGCTGGCAAGAGGCGGGCATCGTCGAAGCGAGTACGTCCCTCGCTCTGGGGGACAAGCAAAAAAAGAAGGCAAGCAAGGCAGACCATGACTCCAGCGGCCAAAGACCTCGAGTGCGAGGACAACCAACCAGCATTAGCCGGCACCTCTGCGAGAGCCGCAGCTCGGAATACGTGCGTTTCTTAGCCCTGCGTGCAGAGAGCAAAGCGGTGCCACTGTACTTCCGCTGGGCGGCACGCAGGTCTACTGGCATCAACAGGGGACACAAGGGTAGTGTCGACACGGAGTTGTGATCCGCCCCAAAGCGAGCGCCCGCTGTGCGGTTGGTTGGAAGTTGCCAGAGTGGCGAGCTCCAGCACGCGCTCGAGTGCACGCGCAAGAAGCACGTGAGATCGACATTCCAACGGCCGCCGACTTGTCGGCGGCGCGCGTCGGTGGTTGCCCTGCCTGGGCGACGGGGGGGACTAGGCTTGCATCGCAACATATCGCTTCTTCGTACACGACGAGCTCGAGCCGTCGGCAGTCATCGGACGGCGCGCCCCGTGCCGTAGTGTGCGCCAGGTTAGCGGACAACATCGGACGACTTGCCCTTCGGGCCCCACAGCCTCGCGAGCCACCCGCACCCATGTGCTCTCAAAAATTTTTGCGGCGGGCCAAAAACCCTGTTGGCGGGCATGCGAGGGCATGGTCCCGGAAGCGTACCCGGTCCCGGTCCGCACTGTAGCGGTTGGCGGGTGCAAGCGCAGTCGTCGCCGTAGTGCGAGCTGCATGGCCTGAGGCGCGAGTGTAAGAGTTGGCTCGAACCGGTTGCGGGGCCGGCAACAGCACTCGATCGCCCCGATACTAGAAACATCCTCGTCCGCATCGCATGTACTTTTTTTCGGCTGCGCGAGGTGCCGACAACTCAACATCATCATACGTGGAAACGACGTGTCCAGGTTGGGGCGATCCGCATGCGATCCCTGCGCTAGTGCTTCCAGCAGAGCTCAGAGCGGAGTAGACAAATTGACGCAAGATTCGGTACCTGCGCTCTTGCACGCAAGCAGCTGCAAACTGCAGGCTTGATGGTTCGGTTAGGTATCGTCAATACTTTTAAGAGTGAAGAGCATCATGTCAAGTCATACAAGCGTTGGGGTTATCTCACATCAGCTGGTGAGAATACACATCAATGTCGGCATACGCTGGTTTAGGGAGAATTCACATCAGCGGGGAAAATACACATCAGAACTAGCTAAACCCCATGTAGACGCTGG